ATAGTAACATGCTCCCACTTCCACTCGGCAATAGGCAAGGGTTACAACAAACCCGTTCGCCTCTGATGCTCGGCCTTCACTTGCTGACAAGTAAGGCACTTAGACATGAAAACTGCCACATCCTTCTTTATACCCCGCTACCAAAACTGACGACCTAGATCACGATCCATCTTAGTGCCTCCCGGATGTACCGCAAGGCGCGAATGGTGAAACTCTCGGAGTACGTCCTCTCAGCAAGACTCCGGCACAAACAGACGGTCTCGGTATCTCACACTCAGGTCGGGATACACAGTTAAACCCTTCTCAGCCTTCCCACTGGAGATCTTCTCTTGAAGGGATTCTGTCTCAAGGTCACCTCTCTGTGCCTCTAACACTCGATTCACAAGTGTAGGCTGCGCAACAACAGAAAACAAGGTTGCAGCCTCAACAGATTCACCCAAAAGCAAATCAAAATCGCCAAGTGCACCCTACATCCCCCACTCACGGATGGCTATAAAGGCAACATCACTAATGGATTTCCTACTAAGGGCATCGGTCACAACATTGGCCTTTCCTGGGTGATAGTGCAACTCAAAGTCATAGTCCTCAATGAACTTCATCCACCTCCTCTGCCTCAAATTCAAGTCTCTCTGTGTAAACAGGTACTTCAAGCTCTTATGATCCGAGAACACCTCGAATTTCTCAAGGCAAAAATCACTACTGCTAGTTCTAGGACATGAGTAGGGTAATTCCTCTCGTGAATCTTCAACTGACGTGAGCCATAGGCTACCACTTTCCCTTTTTGCATCAAGACACAACCCAAACCCTCTCGTGAGGCATCACAATAAACCACATAACCCAAACCTCTCTCCAGAATAATCAACACCGGAGCGGTGATCAATCTAACTTTCAACTCTTGGAACGACTTTTCACAAGTCTCACTCCATACAAATTTGACTCATTTCCGCAACAATCTAGTCAACGACGAAGGTAGTCTAGAGAAATCTTTCACAAACCGGCGATAATACCCAGCTAATCCCAGAAAACTGCAGATCTCAAAAATGCTCTTAGGCTGTGCCCAATCTTGCACTGCCTCAATCTTGGATGTATCAATAGACACCCCTTTCCCGAAAACCACATGGCCTAAGAACTTGACCTCTCCTAGCCAGAACTCACACTTTCCAAATTTGGCATACAGCCTATGGGCTCCAAACAACTCGAGCACCACTCTCAAGTGTTCCTCGTGCTCCTTCTTTGAAGGCGAATAAATTAGAATGTCGTCCACGAAAACGACTACAAAGCGATCCAAGAATTCCCGGAATATTCGGTTCATCAAATCCATAAACACTGCCGGTGCATTGGTGAGCCCGAAAGGCATTACCAGAAACTCATAGTGGCCATACCACGTACGGAATGCCGTTTTCAGAATATCCTCCTCCCTGACCCTCAGCTGATGGTAACCCGATCTTAAGTCTATTTTGGAGAAATAACGGGACCTTTTCAACTGGTCAAACAAGCCATCTATACAGGGCATAGGGTACTTATTCTTAACCGTAGCCCAATTCAACTTTCGGTAGTCGATACAAAGTCTCAAGGCACCATCTTTCTTTTTAGCAAAGAGGGCCGGTGCTTCCCACGGTGAAATACTAGGGCGAACGAAACCCTTATCTAGGAACTCCTGGAGTTGAACCTTCAACTCACTCAACTCGGTTGGGAAAAAATGGTAAGGTGCCATAGAAATCGACGTTGTGCCCGGCACTAAATCAATAGAGAACTCTATCTCTCGATGTAGTGATAAACTAACAAGATCCTCGAGAAAAGCATCCGAATACTCACAAGCCACTCTCGGTAACTCAACTCCGGTCTCATCACACTCACTAATCATAAGGCTAGCGAAGTACAAAGGAATGGTAAACATTCAAATCTCATTTTGATCCTTTTTTTTTTAGGCAAATTACAAAAAAAACTCCAAGATTTCGCGTATTTTTTAATTTAAACGCCAATGTTTCAATTTTGATAAATTAAACCCTGGAGTTTTTTCTTTGTTTCAATCTGAACCCTCCGTCTATATCCGTTTGATTGAACTAATGGAATTTGTGCAAAATTCTCAGATTCAAACACACATGTTCAAACACACATGTTCAAACACTTGTATCTCCCTCGTCACAACTCTGTTGCGCCTCATTTTTGCGTCGTTGGATTTACCTTATTGCCTAGTTTTCATTCCACTCTCATACACCTTGTTCCAACTCTTTTTGTGTGCCGTTGGAACTCCGAAAGTTGGCAAAAAATAATATTTTTTTCTCTTTGGGCAAAATTTTCAGATTCAATCACACATGTTCAAGCATTTGTATCTCCTTCGTCGTAACTCCGTTTCGCCTCATTTTTGCGTCGTTGGATTTACCTTATTGCCTAGTTTTCATTCCACTCTCATACACCTTGTTCCAACTCTTTTTGTGTGCCGTTGGAACTCCGAAAGTTGGCAAAAAATAATATTTTTTTCTCTTTGGGCAAAATTTTCAGATTCAATCACACATGTTCAAGCATTTGTATCTCCTTCGTCGTAACTCCGTTTCGCCTCATTTTTGCGTCGTTGGATTCACCTCATGGCCCAGTTTTCATTCCACCCATTGTATGCCTTGTTCCACCTCTTTTTGCTTGTTGTCGGAGCTCCAAAAGTTGGCCAAAAATAAGATCTCTCTCTCTCTCTTCCCCTCTTTCTTTCTTTGTCTATCTTATATCTCCATACTTCTTCTTTCCTCGTTCCTTTCCACAATTATTTTCTTTTTTTCTCTTCTTTCATGGCCCTTCCCTTACTCTTATGTTTCTTTCTGTTCTTGTAAGTCACATACATTCATACTCGACGACACCGCCACTAACACCGCTACCGCCACCGCCACCGCCACCGTTGGAGGTTCGGTGGCCACCACGAGCTCAGTGGAAGGGCCATGAAAAAAAAGGAAAAAAGTGATTAATTGTGGAAAGAGTAGGAATGAAGAAGCATGGAGATAGAAGATAGAGGAAGGGGGAAAAAAAGAGAGAATTTTTATTTTTGGCCAAATTTTGAAGCTTTGACCACATGCAAAAAGAGGTGGAATAAGGCGCATGAGGGGTGAAATGAAAACTAGGCCATAAGGTGAATCCAACAACACAAAAATGAGGCGAAACGGAGTTATGATGGGGGAGATACAAGTGCTTGAACATGTGGGTTTGAATAAGAAAATTTTGCCCAAAGAGAGAAAAATCTTATTTTTTGGCCAACTTTCGGAACTCTGACAACACACAAAAAGATGTGAAACAAGGCGTATAAGGGGTGAAATGAAAACTAGGCCATGAGGTAAATCCAACGACCTAAAAATGAGACAAAACGAGTTACGACGAAGGAGATACAAGTGTTTGGACATGTGTGTTTGAATCTGAAAAATTTGCCTAAAGAGAGAAGTATCTTATTTTTTGCCAACTTTCAGAGTTCCAACGACACACAAAAAGAGGTGAAACAAGGCGAGTGAGGGGTGGAATAAAAATTAGGTAATGAGGTGAATCCAACGATGCAAAAATGAAGTGAAACGAAGTTACGACGAAGGAGATACAAGTCTTCGAACATGTGTGTTTGAATCTTAGAATTTTGCCCAGATTTCGTTAGTTCTATCAAATGGATATGGACGGAGGGTTCAGGTTGAAACATTGAAGAAATTCCATGGTTTAATTTGTCAAAATTGAAACCTTGGGGTTTAAATTGAAAAACACGCGAAATCCTGAGATTTTTTTTTTTTGCAATTTGCCCTTTTTTTATTTTAAATTTTAACAATTTTCTAGTTAAGAAACTCTTTAAAAAAACAATTCACTAAGAGCATCTTTAAACAATTCACTAAGAGCATCTCTAACGGTTCAGTATTTTTTCATCAAATCTGAGTAAAAAATGGACGATTTCCTCAATTTGATATGAGTTGTTCCAACAGGTGCACTGTAGCTTACATTAAAAGGCAGGGACGACCAGCCAGTTGACCGGATAAGGCACTGAATTTTTTTTTTTCCCCCTCCATTTTTGATTGGATTGAGAAAGTGAGAAAAAATTCAATAGACAGAAAAATAGTGAATGAGCTAGATCAAGATTATTTATCTGCTACAGGGTTTGGAGGTGGTGGAAAGGTTGGGTTTGGGGGGGGGAAGGGAGAGAGAGAGAGAGAGAGGAGACAACTTACTCGTACTCACACACCATTATGGAGAGAGAAAGCAAGATAGAGGTTTAAAACACTAAATTTATGAATGAACAACGACTAGAGTTTTTCAATTTCTACTCTATATATACACCTTCTGAGTTTCTCTAAATTCCATACTCTCTTCCTCTCTCACTCTCTCTCTAAATCCCAGTTATTTCTCTTGTTTTCTTTGCTCTACAGATCTAAGGGTTCTTGTAAAAGCTAATCAGTGAAGTGGGCTTTAGGTTTTGAAGCAATGTTGGAGTACGAATGGGGAAATCCATTAACAGTCATGCACTTGGGCGAAGAACCCACCGGAGATTCCGACCCGAACCGCCAGATTTTCGATCACTACGCTCAAGCTTTCAACGAAACCCTCGTGAATTCAACTAGGTTTTCTCAGAATCAACACCACTTTCATCAACCACAACTTTTTTTCCACCACCCCCAAACCCAAGCCTACTCGCACTCTCTCAATCTTTGCTTAAAGTGTCAACCCAGTTCGTAGACCAAACATGGCTGTAGCTCTGCATTTTCTGTCTAAATCGGACGACCAATGGGACAACCGGCCAGAGTCTGACCGATTGTCCGATGGGACCCACCTCCAACAGAAACGCACAGTGAAATGGTAAAATCAGACCCAACTTCTCAATTTGGTGACAGTTTTGCTCCATTCTCAGTTTGATACCATTTTGATGAAACCGTGGAGCCAAAAAAGATATACTTTTTCACAAAATTCAAATTTAGTGATACATCTGCTTAACCGCTAGAGATGGTCTAAAGATGTCCCCAAAAATGGGCTGAAAAACTTTCCCAAATAAGGAAGTTAAAGAGGGCCAGAGATTTCATAACTGAAACAGAGAGTACACACAACCTCCTCATGAACAATAAGATAACCACTTGTAATGTAAGATCCTTTTAACACAATTATTTCCTTTACATCAAGAAAAGATGGGACTTCAAAAATTAAACGAAAGTTTAAATTCCAACTATAATTTGGACCATCTACTAGAGCAAGAAACCTAACATCATTCTTACAAAAAGAACCCTATAATGGGATCTCCATTACCTAAAAGCATTTTCCACATGATTGTACTTATTCATCCAACTCTGAATCTTTGGCACAACCATCTATTTACTGTTTCAAAAATCAACTCCTTAATCCTCTGACATCTCTCTGAACCTGGCAATGGCCTTCTTCTGAATGAGAGTTCGATAACTGTCTCCAGCTTGCACCTCCAAGTTTGGATCCAACTTCTTTTTCTTTTGACTCCCCAGTCCCGCTCTTTTTTCCATTGCTTGTGCTTGCACAGGCTCTACCATGCCACTCTCATCCTTCCCAAGTCCCTGCACATCAAATCACAGAGGAAACAACAAAAAACGACACCCCAAAGCAATGTCAGAATCCTGCTAAATGTGGAAGAAACAACCACCGGCTACTACTATACCTTTCAAACTTCGAAACTCCTCATATCATTAAACGGAAAGAAACAGGTGACTGGCAAAACCAGAGAGATGAAAGAAAATATGCAAGTGCTACTTTTTGAGGATTCAAAATATAGTTTATATATCTAGCCAACTCTTAATGCTATGTTTGGTTCACAGGAATGAAAATGGAATGGAATGAAATGCTCATTCCCTAGCTTCTGTAAAAACCCATTTTCATTCCAATGAACCAAACACTACCTAAGGGTGTGGAAAGGGGAGCCTCTAAACGGTAGTTGCAGCCTGGGTTGAGCCCACAATGGGTGACAAGTTGTACATATATAAGCTAAAGGAGAGATACCAACCACTCTTGCCTCTAGCGAGAGTCGAACCCCCGACATCTCATACGTGAGAGGTGGGGAGATGCTACTGGGCTAGAAGCCTGTTCGCACAAGGGCTACTTGTATAACAAATCTAACTTCATAAAAGGTTAGAAACAACCAGACAATGTCCATAAGACTCACTTGGCAAAGAAGTGTCTCACCATCAGATTCGTAAGAGGCATATTTCACTAGCTTCTAGCAAATACTCAACACACAAAATGTAAACGGGTGTCCAAGAGTGGAAAATGTTACCCAGCCTTCCTGCCAGCCCATGTTGCAAAGCATCCGGTTTCCCAAATTATTCTCATCAATGGCTTTGTCTGCTGCAATCACCTCATAACTCTGCACATTAGTAGTATCTCCAGAACCACGTCCTCCCCCAACTCCAGGGGGAAAAGGCATCGAATTGATTAAACCCCTTTTGGATGATGAATCGCGATCTTGAAAGTTCAGGATTACGTAAAAACAAGGGATTTTCTAACAAGTTAATACAAATATTGAGAAACATAAAGCAAGCAATCAACCACTGACCTCATAACTCAACTAAATTTTGTCAAATGTCCCATGGCTATATGTATAAAACTACTGAAATTACCAAGTGCAATGATTCTAATCTTTTCAGGCATTTCTATAGATCTAAAAGGTGCATTCAAGAATGGCTTTATGACATGGAGTCAAGGGCTAAGCCACCATATAACAAATTGTCAAGTGAGCTTACTTGAATCCCCAATCCCAAGGTCAGAGACATTGTCTCCAATGGAAGATGTTGAACCATACAAGCTCCTCCTCTCAGCCGCCCGATCCCTATAGGTAGTTTGAGGTTGTTCCTTGTGAGTAGAAACTGACTGCACTGGCATCTCAGAAAACCTCCTCTTGCCACTTCCAGAAGCCACTGGTGGTGTGTAAGAACCCAAAGCAGATGCATCTGTTCTAAAGGGTGTCAAAGTTGTGGGTGCATCTGTATTCATTGATGAAGAACCAGCAGGGCATGTAGCAGCAGCAGCAGATGAAGAGGATGAAGCTCCTACGAAAGTTCCAGGATACGAACTATCTGATTTCACCACAACCCTTCCTCTAATTAACCCCTTTACAGTACCCCCTGAGCTGCTACTAACCGACCTTGGCTTATCCTCACCCTCCAAACTAACAGACTGGGCAGCAGTCATAGATGTGGTTGTGGTAAATCCAGAATTGGTAGTTATTGTTAGAATTTACCATAAACCTACCACCACTACCACCTCACCTACTCCACTAAACCTAACCCACTACACCACTACCACCTCCACTTCACCTACTCTCCACCTACTCCCAAACACCTACTCCACTAAACCTAACCCACTACACCACTACCACCTCCACTTCACCTACTCTCCACCTACTCCCAAACACACTCCTATATAATAGGAATCCTTGTAATTGTAATATTAACACAACAACAATCAACAAATACATAAATTTTTACAGTTATATTCTCCTTCGTGATCACTGCTTCCATTTTGTACCTGCTCCTTGTGGACGCTCCAACAGAATTGGATTTATCTTCAGCTGAAGCAGCTGGCTGATTGTCATCAAGAGCTACACGGGGTGCTTGCCCTTCATGACTCCTCTGCTTCCACATTGTCAACACATTACTCATTTTCTTCTTGTTGGCCAGAATACTGCTCCTTGAAGCAAGCTTTATCTCTTTCAACTTCTCCTTTTCTTTCTTCTCAGCAGCTATTGCTGCACTAGCAGCGGCCTGAACAGCATCTGGCAATGACGCAGCCTTCTCATTTGATGTTATTGTGGCAGCTGGCGCAGAAATAACTACTTTCCTATTGGTTGAACCATCGGATGCCTTGGAGGATTCAGTTTGTTTTCCTTTTCCAGCTGTTTTATTGTCACTCTGATCAGAGCAGGGCACGTACTGCTGAGTTTGGTGATCATAAGAATACCAAACCCCATTGTTACCATCATAATATAATCCTGCACATTTATAAAAAAATAAAATAAATAATAATAATAATAATAATAATAATAATAATAATATAATCCTGCAAAACACAAGAATAAATAAATAAATAAAACATTGATCTTCATCAATCAAATTCTATTTGGTCTACTCCACTAGCACTCGTACCCGTCCAGTTCATTAGCAGCAAAAAGCATGCTTGCATAAAAACAGAATACATATTATCATAGATATGCTTCACCTGATCATGGCATTAAAAATAAAAATAAAAAGATTAAGGTTGCGTTTGACAGAGCTTTCTAAATATGATTTGAGAGTAGGAGTTGTATTTTGAGTTTGTGAGTTTTGGAATTATGATTGGAGTGTAGAAAATTTGTTTGGTGAAAGAGTTTAGAAAAGAGTTTTGAATTGAGTGGGGAATTTTTAATGTGACATATGATATTTGATACAAAAACTTACAACTTATAACTAAACACACAACTCAAAATTCTATTAAAGCTTATAAAAAAATTTTAAAAATTCGGAAAATATTTTTTTCGAATATCGCTTGGTTGAGTTTCCAGTGCCACCGCACCAGTTCTCTCTCTCGTTGACTCGTTGAGGTCGGGAAAGAGGGTGAGCAGCCCGCGGGAGGACGATGAAGCCATTTTCTAGGCAACAGAGTGTTACACAGTATCTCTCTCAGAAATCTCTCTCAGAAAACAGAGTGTTACAGAATCTCTCTCCGAAATCTCTCTCAGAATATCTCTCGCAGTTTTTTTTGCCTCAGCCTCCGTCTTATAGCCGAGGCAGCCACGCGCATCGCGCGCCTCTTACCACCAGCCGACAACACGGGCGCGCAAGCCAAGACGCCCACGTGCCTCGCCATCATGTCCGGCACACCTTTTGATGAATTGGGCACGCCTTTTGATGGCACGCCTTTTGACAAAATTGGGCACACCTTTTGAGGGTGCACCTTTTTCAACAGTCCGACATGACCCCATAAACTGTCCCGACATTTGATTCCGGTTAGCATACAGTGTCCTCTACCACGTTATGACACCACCATACAGTGTCCTCTACACCGTTATGACACCACCATACAGTGTCCTCTACAACGTTATGACACCACCATCCAGTGTCATCTACCACGTTATGACACCACCATTCAGTGCCTTCACCAACGGTCTGACACAACCATACAGTGTCTCCTATCTTTTTTTTTATTTTTATGTATTTTCTTGTTTTGTTCCTTTCTCCAAACTCAAGTTGGTTAGTTCATATCCTCCTTGAGTTTGCGGGGGGCTGTTAAAATATATCATCACCTACCACCTCCACTCACCTCCACTATCACACACTCCACCTACCACCTCCACTTCACTCCTACACCTACTACCACATTTTCTTCTATATATAGGAATTGTAAATATAGCAACATAACACATCAATCAGATATCAATCAATAATACATATATTTTTACAAAAACTTTTGTATATCTCCACAAATTAACCCTATGTAAACCTCAAAATTTGGAAGAAAGATCCCTCATTAGTAAATTGGATAGGTTTCTTAGCAACACCCAACAAATACTGCTCTCAAAGTTGTACAATTCTATTGAGTGTTGTCTCTCCTCTCATCTCTCTGAATAGTGTAGAAATATCGGGGCTCTACTCAAAATTTCAAATATAAAAAACTTTGTAACTATTACTAAAATTACATTTTCTTAAAATAATCCAAACTAAAAACCATCAACAAATGCAGAGCAATCCAAGCCAACCATAAACTCCAAAATAAAAATGCTGTCACAATGCAATGGTCAGTTGACAGCAGAAATCCAAACCAGAGGCCCTTTAAAAATTGAATGCCACCACAAGACCAATGATTAACGAAACTAATTATTTGATGCACACTGAATAAGATTGTTAAAGATTTAGGATGCCACACCAGTGCACCAGTGCAATTGCATGAGCAACACATATCAGAACTTTCACTTATAGAATACAACATTGATATCATGGGGGCTATGGCCCACATGATACAACACTTGCAACATTTGCCTACATTATGCATAAACATAAAATCAAGAGACAGCTTTTATAGTAACAATGAGGAAAACAACAACTAAAAGGCAGCTTCCAAATAAATAAATACCTGTATTTCCATCATAATAGAATCCAGAAGAAGCATCATAATAATAGCCAGATGCTTCATCCCAAACAAAGCCAGATTGTAATGAAGAAGAAGAAGCATCATAATAATAGCCAGATGCTTCATCCCAAACAAAGCCAGATTGTAATGAAGAAGAAGAAGCATCATAATAATAGCCAGATGCTTCATCCCAAACAAAGCCAGATTGTAATGAAGAAGAAGAAGCATCATAATAATAGCCAGATGCTTCATCCCAAACAAAGCCAGATTGTAATGAAGAAGAAGAAGCATCATAATAATAGCCAGATGCTTCATCCCAAACAAAGCCAGATTGTAATGAAGAAGAAGAAGCATCATAATAATAGCCAGATGCTTCATCCCAAACAAAGCCAGATTGTAATGAAGAAGAAGAAGCATCATAATAATAGCCAGATGCTTCATCCCAAACAAAGCCAGATTGTAATGAAGAAGAAGAAGCATCATAATAATAGCCAGATGCTTCATCCCAAACAAAGCCAGATTGTAATGAAGAAGAAGAAGCATCATAATAATAGCCAGATGCTTCATCCCAAACAAAGCCAGATTGTAATGAAGAAGAAGAAGCATCATAATAATAGCCAGATGCTTCATCCCAAACAAAGCCAGATTGTAATGAAGAAGAAGAAGCATCATAATAATAGCCAGATGCTTCATCCCAAACAAAGCCAGATTGTAATGAAGAAGAAGAAGCATCATAATAATAGCCAGATGCTTCATCCCAAACAAAGCCAGATTGTAATGAAGAAGAAGAAGCATCATAATAATAGCCAGATGCTTCATCCCAAACAAAGCCAGATTGTAATGAAGAAGAAGAAGCATCATAATAATAGCCAGATGCTTCATCCCAAACAAAGCCAGATTGTAATGAAGAAGAAGAAGCATCATAATAATAGCCAGATGCTTCATCCCAAACAAAGCCAGATTGTAATGAAGAAGAAGAAGCATCATAATAATAGCCAGATGCTTCATCCCAAACAAAGCCAGATTGTAATGAAGAAGCATCCTTTGGACCTGCAACCTCTCCACCACTTGGCTCCTGTCCACCAGAGGGCTGCTTATTGTCTGGATTATATTCCTTTGGTGCCCATCCAACAGCATCATACTACAAGGATTGAAAGGAGGGAATGTATTTATTCAATCAGGTTCGTCAACAATATAGACTAATTGCATCTAACCAATACAAGAAAATAAGAAAAGACCAGCCAGGTAGAATGCGTGCATGTGTGCATACACGTGTGCGTGTCTTTGGAAGCAATCATGAGCATTCAAAGTGCTTGCTTCCTGAGTTACCATTGCAATGAATCCTCTCCTTAAATTACATGACACTTCAGCTTCAGATCAGCAAAAGGACCACAGTGGTTTTCTAGATAGCAGGGATAAAGAATGGGATGAATGGGGGTGTTTGGTGGAACTTTTTTGAGCCAACTTATGGCTTCTAGCTTTTAAAAAGTTATTTTGGATTGTTTGGTTAAACTTATTTCAAACAGCTTTTGATTCTAACAACTTATTTTAAGTCAAAAAAGTTGATTCTGAGAAACTGCTCACCCCTTGCTTCTGATTATCAGCTTCTGCTGTGGACATGTTAATTCACGGTGATACTCTTAGA